CTCCTGCTTTTTCATTTAAACATTAACACTTGGCAACCATTCCACATTAGTACATATGGATTTGTTTCATCAAAAAAAATTGCTATAAACTGTGTTTTTGTACGAATGTGCCATAATTTGTTTTTCCAGTTCCCTAGTGATGCCTATATTTAGGCTGTTCCCAACCTTTTACTATTAAAAATATCCAGGATCAATAAATGTATGTATTTTAGACGGGGGTAGATATCGCCAACTGCTAACCCCCTGTAATTGCTCCTACGCCGTTGGCCAGAACTCAGTCCTAAAGCAATGTTTAGCTGCAATAGAAGCTTAGAAATACGGTCTTTATTCCCGATGGTGATGTATGCGCCTTGTTAAAAATTTAATTCTAAGGGAAAGAAAGATAATAGAGATTGGGGATAAGAGATCTTCCTCGAAACTTCAACGTCTTTGACTTTGAAAAATACTCTCTCCCGTCCTCTTCCTGAGCCCCCGTGAGGAGGGGCCTCTACTTCTCGCCTCTCCTTTCTGAAAGGCTGGGGTTCCCAGGGCGGGATGATTACCTCTCACCGCACACACCCTCCCAGAGGCACATGCATTCCCTCTGACCTAACTGCCATCCGCCTATGGGCTGAGGACTCCGCACCCCTCCCCACCCGTCTGCACCTCCTCCCTGGGCCCAGGCAGGGCTGTCAGAGTTCTCTACTACTACTTGGCATCTCCTTAACCATGAACAGAACCACCCCAGGCCTACTACTTCCGTCTCCATTCGAAATCAAGGTCGTGTTAGGTGTCTGAGCTGGAATTCACAGGATTTAGGTGAAATCCTTGTTCTCTAAATCTCAGGTGACGCTGGGTCCCTTGAGACTTTTCAAAGGGTGACAGTTTATCATCCTGATGGATGTGACTCCTGAGGCAGATGCCTCTAAACTGGTGATGAAATTCTCATTGGCAGGTTTGTCCTGAGTGAGGTTCTTTCTACTTATTATAGGATGGGTTACTGGGGGTGATGGTGGGAGTTTTCCTGAACCTGGAGAGAATTGCAAAAGATGTCTCAGATTTGTGGGGGTGGGTGCTTAATGTGTGTCAACATCAGTCGGGATTTCTCCGTGGTGCTCAGCCTGGGACTTTACATCTCGCACTCCCCCAATGCTAACAGGTACCACGTGGTACATAAATTCTAAGAGGACAAACTAGAATGTTCTGTTTTCTCTGTGACATCGTCATATCATCCAGGTTAGCATGGAGTCCATGACCCTAGAATGATGATCCCAGCACTAAGAACCCACTGTCCACCGGACATCTCCACTGTCTCTTGGGATCTGGGTCAGCCACTTATCTAGAACTCACACCGCCCCCTGCCTGGCTGCCTGCGGGCAACTCTCCCCCACAAGGTCTCAGCTTCAGTAAGATCCGAAGCCTCCCCTGACCCGCTCATGGAGAGTTTGACCACCCCCTTCTTTATGCTCTCACACCGCACCCCACATTCCTACCACCTGTATCCCATCCCTATCGAGAAGGGTACAATAGACTCCCAGGTTGTGTTTCCTTCTTCCTCGGTTTCTCTTTTTGTTTTCTTTGGGTGTCTCGGTTAGATAGTAACTTTTCCATTTCTAACAGACTTTCATTTGTGCGTAACTAGTTACAGATCCAGCAAAATCAGTTTTCTGTTGTGAACAATGGATGAAATGCTTTGAAAATATAATGAATCAATCAATATTGGCCCAAACCACTTGATCGTGAGCTCTTAGTTCATCTGTTATTTGTTTTCACTAAATCTCTGACTTCTCGCCAGTTTCAAGCCTACCCTTTGCCAGGTCGTAGGCTTCTGACACCAATTCCCCTGAGCCTTGTATGATGTAGGAAATAACAGCGATTAAAGGAGGCTCAGCAGCCACCTAGTACATTCTCTGCGGCCAGTGGAAAGACTGCAGCATTTGGAATGAGAAGACTTAGCTTTTTGTCCTGGCTCTGCCTCTTAGTGGCTGTGTAATTGTAGAGAAGTCGGTTTGTGTGCCTGACGGTTTCTCTCATTTCTCAAGTAATATTCCCTCACAGAAATGTCTTTGGCAGGTTTGCGTTTGGTCCATTAGTCACTTCCGGTGCCGTGCTGGGATGTAGAGAGGCCTCAAAAGGGATGGAGGCCTGGGATGGATAATTAGATCAAAATTACACAAATAAACCTTCAAAGTCAAAATTAATAAACTTTTAAATGTCTGAAAGATATAACAATAGAGCCGCTCCCTTAGTTATTAAATTTAGCATTTATGAGACTTTCATTACATTAGAATGCAATTTGTAGATTTAATTGTTTTACTTTGCAAAGATTCTTGAGTAGCTAGATGATTTCCAAGAAACAAAGAAAAAGTCAAAGTCATATGATGATCTGTGGGTGCCTTTCACTATGTTTGCTGTGATTTGGGGAGAGTGTCAAAAGTCAGAGTCTTAGGACTCACAGGGATCTTAAAATGGGGCTGGCTGTGAAGATTCAGGGTTTTACATATGTGATTAGTGAACTATAGAAAACTGCATTAACTACTCAGAAAAATCTACAGGAGAAATGCCTGCCCCGAAAGGCCGTCGGCCAGGAACCTCCGGAAGCCACCGAGCCAGTGGTTCCCAAATCTAGCGCTAGTTCAAATTCCTGGGGAGGGATTCAGGGTGGTGCCTGGGAACGGGTATTTTACCCAGCATTTCAAGCGACTCCAACGACCGTCCAGATTTGGGGTCCGCTGGCCTTTAACCGGAGCGCCTTCCATCTCATTTCAATTCATTTTGTCCTTGGTTTGCCCTTTTGGAAAAGAGCCGCCCATCACTCTCATCTAGATCACATTTCTTTATGAACTTGACTGCTGCCAAGTCTCTCTGAGCCAGGCAGGACGAGCCCAGTGCTGTTCATCGCGCAGCCTGGCACAGCTTTGTCTTCAGCCCTTTGCTCCCCAAACCTCCAATCCATTAGAGCCCACTTCCCAACACACCCTTCCCCTCACCGGAGTTCATCATTTGGACTGTCCTTAAATTTCCTTCTTAACTCTCAGATGCGGCTGGAACATCTTCTCCCTTCCCAGCTCTTTCTTTCCAAGTCACAGCTTCTGCAAAATATTTTCTATTCTAGTTTTGCAATAATGGGCAGGAACAGGGACTGTGGGGTAGGAGTTGCTGGGAGCCAAGAGACTGGAAGGAGGAAATAAGCCGTGTTGGATCCTCCTGAGACCATCGGCAGAGCCAAAGTTATTGGGGTGGGGAGGGGATGAGAGAGGTTTGCCTTTGCTCTTCTGAGCACTTGACCTTTCCCGTGGCAGGAGGTCAGCTGATGGACAGAATTATAGAGCCAGGTCGGGCCTGCTCTTCACCGGAGGTTGGAAGGAGGTCGTCTGCTGGAAATGTGACGCTTTGTATGTCGGTCTTATTTTGGCTGCAAAGACTTATTTTGGTTGTCTTCCTTCCCTGGGGAAGGCCTTCAACCGCAAAGTCCATGTTCTTGGTTGAGTTGCGTAAGGAGCATGCCACAGGAATTAGTCAGCGTTTTCCAGTGGGCCCGTGGAATACCTCAAAAACAGCAGATTTCATTGTTTTTCCTGGAGTGGAGCTAATTATAGATAGATAATTAAAATTAAGATGAGTCTTCTTGTCGCATAAGGTATTCATCATGCTCAGATTCTGCCTGCTGATGGCACAGCTTCCGCGACATTTCACTGCAGTGTTTCTGAGTGTGTGGCTGGCCAGTGATTCATGTACATCAGAATCACCTGGAGGTGGTTGTTGAAAATGCACATGTCTGGGCTCAGGGGCATTAGCACAGAATGTTCCGGGTGTGAGGCCTGGGAATCTACATACTTAGCTGGACTCTCAGGTGATTCTTAAGAATACCAAAATTCAAGAGTTGTTAATTAAATGCGTACCTAGTATGTGCTAGAGACTTGATCTGATTAGGAAAAAAATCTTGACAACAATCTTATGAAGTATATATTATTATCTCCATTTTTAAACTGAGGCTTTGAGACGTTAAATAACATTTCTAAGGCTATACAGCTAGTAAATGGCAAAGCCGGGATGCAAACTCAGGCCCATCTCATTCTAGAGCACATGCCTTTCCGACCTGCCCCACATTCTCACAGAGGAACCAGTGGCTGCCAGGCCATCCGTGTGGCCTGGGACACTTGCGACAGCCGAGACAAAATTGAATGGGTACGGGAGAGCCCCCGCAGAGGCCCTAACTCTGTGGCAGCTGTGAACACCCTTCTCCGATTATTGCTGTGTTTGTTCTTTCCTTGTGGGTGCTCACAGCTCCTAGGAGTCCCTGCTCCCTCCCGTACTGGCTGCTCTGCCTGACCCTGGACACCTGGGGTATTGGAAATTCTGATGGTTAAAAGTAAATGGTGACAGATGCTGTGGGGAACCCATCTGACACTCATTTGCTCTTTTGCCAGTGTTGGGTGACTCTGCTTCCAGGAGGGATGGTCCCCACTCCAGCCCGAGGCGGGTAGTTCCTCATTAGCTCAATTATGCTGGGAGTTCCAATCCGCTTGCCAGCGATTCAGCCACGGGCAAGAGACCCAGTTCTTGTCAACGAGATGTGACCGAAAATCTGCTGAGTGGTTTCTGGGAAGGATTCCTCCCTTATGAAGAGCTGTCCCAGCTGCTCTACAGGAAGCGGCCGGGCAGTGTGACACGCGGCACAACTGCAGGGGGCGCCAGCAGATTGGATTCCAGTGGACAGAGGCCCTGGGAGATGGACAGGGGTGATGCTCACGCGGAAGCGAGGTGGAGGTGTCCCCCGGTGCTGGCAGATGTCATGGTGGTTGGAGACGGTTTCACCTTCGCCCACAGAAACCTGGGCCTCCTGGTATCTCCAATCCCACACGTACATGCAAAAATCAGTCGAATAAGGATTTTAAAACACAGAACTGTCTCAATGCAGCAGGCTTTCCGGTTAAACTGAGCTGCTCCCTGTTTAACAAAAGCCCAATTTAGCATCCCCTGAAGGTAGTTCACCGAGAGTCCCAGGAGAGGGAAGACAGCCAGGTTTGGGATCTGCGGGGGAGTCGAGCGGGATCTCGGCAGCTCAGGACACTCGCAGCTTTGACAGAGCCGTCCCCAGCCACAGAGGCCGCGAGGACAGTGGCCGGGCCCGCTGACCGGCTCCGCTGGCACACAGCTCAGCTCGGCTGCCGCCTCACGCTTGCAAGGCCTTGGCTCTCGGCTCTCTTCCTTTCCCCTCGGCCTTTAATCGTCCCCTTCCTCAGGACATCCATCCTCGTCTGGCACAGTTCCGTCCGTTTGCCAGGATGGCCATCTCCTGTCTCCACTGCAAGGAGAAGCTTCTGGACCCTTCTCTTCCTGGCAGGGCTCACTCCTCACCCCTCCACTCCCTTAGAAGAAGATGCTGATCGTTCTCTTTGAACCTAATACAACAGAGCAACCAATTTTGAATGTTTTTTTAAATACAAATTTCCTCTGCAATTAGGGCAATTAGGTATGATTGATGCAGAGAATGAAGAAAGAATTCATCAAGAATTCTTTCAAGAATTCATCACAGACGAATCCCAGACCAAAGTACTCCTGACCCCAAGGTGACCACTGTTTTAGGCTTCTACTTACTCACTTATTTATTTTCCATCTTCTTAGTTTAATATTATTATCACCATTAAAATTATTACTACTCATGTCTTCATCGTGATCATTATTGTTGTTATTTATGATTATTTTTATTATCGTTCTTATCATAAATAACTGTTGAGGTTGTTGTTATACCTAAAACACTGAATAGAGTCCTCTGTTCACAGATGGTGTCCAAGTTAATGAAGATGACTAGGACAGTTTCCCTAAAGACATAGACACACTTCTGTTTCTGGCTGTCACTGTACCTCTTGGTGTCCCTTTGAAGGATGAATGAGACTCCTGAAATAGTCCAGGTCCCTCTGGAGGCAGGGGCCACCTCATGCTTGCAGAGGGTGTCCTGTTCCCTTCCCAGCTCGTGGAAAAATTTTTGAAGCTCTTCGTCCCTCATGATTCCAACAACCATATGTGCAGGCCTCGTAGGACAAGCCTGTCCAACACAAAGTTTTTGAAGTCACCTTGGGGCCCAGTAACTGTTCCTGTAGGGCTGGAGGGGTTGTGGATAGTGTCTTGGCTTTGCGAGACTCTATATTTTTTAAAAATAAACTTGGAGGCCAAAGAACCTCTCCTTTCTACCTAGAATGGCAGAGGAGGGCTTCACCTTCTGTCAGAACCTCCAAAATTTTTTCTAAGTTGATATATGAGCTCGGGAGTGGCCATTGCTCACAAACATGAGCACAGAGGGTATCCTAGGACCTCCTGAGTCTCAGGCCACCACAGAAGGCTGCAACTGCACTGCAAGGCACAGAGAGGGACGTCCGCCTACTTGGCCAAGCTCAGAAGTTTCTAAGTCCTCCATCTCTATTCTGTATGTTCAAATAATTAAGCAGAGGCATGGAATATATAAGGGCCCAAGTCGAACTTCTAGAGATAAATGCTACACTGTCTGAGATGGAAAAGTACAGCGGATGAGATCAATAACCAGAGTAGATTACAGAAAAATTAGTGAACTCAAGACAGTAGAAACTACTCAAAAGAAAAAAACACAGGGGGAAAAAAAAAAAAAAGAATTTAAAGATTAACAGATCACCAGTGAGCTGTAAGATAACTTACATCAACTTAATCTATGGTATTGGAGTCCATGAAGGGAAGGAGAGAAAGACAGAATAAGTATTTTAAGAAATAATGCTTGAAAATTTTCTAACTTTTTGGAAAATTATCAATCCACGGATCCAAGAAGTTCTAACAAAACTCAAGCACAAATAATATGAAGAAAATAAGACGCATCATAATCAAATTGCTCAAAACCTGTGATAGAGAAGAAACCCTAAAACTGGCTGGAGGAAAAAGGACACATTATGTACAGAGAAACAAAGAAAATGGCAGACTTCTGATCAGAAACGATGCAAGTGAGAAGTTAGTGCGGCAGTATCTAAAGTATTGAAAGAAAAAAACAAAACGTCAGGAATCTTATACCCATGAAATATCTTTCAAAAATGAAAGCAAAAAAAAAAAAAAAAGATTTTTTCAAAGGTACAAAAAAGCTGAAAGAATTCATCACCAGCAGACCTGCACTATGTCAAAAGAAGTCCTTCAGACAGAAAGAAAAAATAATAATACCAGAAGGAAATTTGAGCCTATACTATAATAAAAGCATCCGAATCTAATTGCACTAGAAATGGAAACTCTGTGACAACACAGGCCTGGCTCGTCTCTGCCCCACCACTTCTGGGATCCCAGCTTGGAAAACTCAAACGGCTGGCGGTTGGAATCATCTAGACATTTCCTCACTCGTGTCTTACCCCTGAGCTGGGATGACTTTATGTGGGCATGGCTGGGACTGGTGCCTGGGGCACCTACATAGGACGTCTCCCGTGGATTCTCACAGCATGGCGTTTGGAGTTCCCAGAGGGAGCACCCCTACAGGAAGAGTCTCGATTCCAAGCACCCCGAGAGGGAAAAGGAGAGGCTGCCTGGCCTTTCGTGTCCTAGGCTTGGAAATCACGTAGCAATACTTCGGATGTCCTCTGCTAGCCGAAATAGTCAAAAGCCTACTCAGATTCAAGGGATTTAGACCCTATTTCTCAATGAAAGAGTGGCAAAGAATTTGGGGCCCATATTTTAACCTGCCACGTAACCCAAAACCCAATGCATTATACCAACAAGCATTTGTTTAACTCACGCTGGGCAGTTTGTGAGGTCTGAGCTAGGTGTGGCTGATCTTGGCTGGGCTCACTGACACATCTGCGGTCGGTCGGCAGGTTGACTGAGGATTGGCTGGTTTACGATGGTCTCAGTGGAATGGCTGGGATCACTGGGGCTTCTCTCCGCGTGGTCTCAAATTCTCTAGCAGACTAGCCTGAGCTTATTCATATGGGGGCCTCGGAGTTTCAAGGCAGTAAGGGGTGAAGCCTCAATGACTTGCTTCCTATTGCTATCATCTTATCGGCCAAACTAAGGTCCATGTCCACTGCCAAAGGAAGTAGACACAGAAAGAATTAGTGCCCATTTTCACAATCGACCGCAGGTAAATACTATGATTATCCTCCTTTTACAGAGAAAACAGTAACAAGTAGGGTAAGTAACTTGCACGAGCTCTCGCAGCTGGTAAATGAAGGAGAGAAGCTCTAACCCAGGCCGCAGAGTCTGTGCTTGTGACGATGATGCTGCCCAAGGGGGTGGGTGAGTATGAAACCTGGGGAGTGTCAACTCAGGCCACTGGGAAGCGGGGATATGGGGTGACCCGTAACCCTGGATACTGGGAAGTGTATCGAAGATGCTTACGTCTCACCGAGTGGCTGTGTGTGTGCTTGGGTCGAGGACTGTAGAAGCAGCTTGTATTTGGTATGAGGAAATCTAACAGCGATGGGACTATTTATAGATATAGAAGTGGGGGAAAAAAACACACAAACCGACAATTTGGTTTCACTGTGGAAAAGCAATACCGATTGCAGTCATATATGAGACTCAATGACTATTTCTGCTCATTACAATAGATTTTCTAGCAAACACATATTGAACACGTACCGTTTGCAAGTTGCCATGCACATTGCCGTGAATTATAAAAGATGAGTCTTGTCTTCATGAAGTATACTGTCCAGTGGGACCAGAAACAGAAGAATGATTGTACATCACAGCGCCGTGTCACTGATTTAAAGTTTTGATTACAACCAGCTCTGATGGACTGTGCTCCGGCTCCTTCTGCCCCCGCTGCACGATTATCCAATCACCAGTGAAAAAACTCTTGCGAGTTGATGCGATGTAATGAGTGTGGCATCTCCTACCAGCTGGAGACGGTTCAGCTGGAAGGCCTCGCCCGCTAGGCTGTAATCAGCAGCCGGGGGATCCGGATCCTGTGCCCGAGGGAGGATGTCAAACTGGACACTTGCCCCCGACATGGTTTGAAGCTTCCCAAGGCTGTACGTGTCCTTGCTACTGGGTTACATTGAGAGCTAAATCTCCCTTCTCCTTCGACTTTGCGTCCTTGGGCCCAGTTTTTGGAGGGCATTCAGAGGTTTCCTATAAAATATTCATTCCAACCGAAACAGGAAAAGCCTGCCAGACTCTCAGCAGCCTCTGGGAGGCTGGTTTTCTCAGTGGCTGGAACCTACTGAGCCTGAATGATAGAGCTGGCACAGGAGGCACAAACCCAGAGTCTGAGGAAATTAAATGACAGACATGGGGTTTGCTGCACAATGGACCTGCAGTTATTAGCTCACGGTGAGAGTTTAGCTCTCAGGGACTTTTTAAAAAATGTGATTCTACTCTTCTGAAAAATGTAGTTTCGAAGGATTAAAGAAACTTTTAATATTAGGAAGAATTTTTTTTTATCATTTATGTCCTGTCTACTTTAAAAAAAGGTTTTAAGGGGGCTTAAAATATTAAAGCATGTGTAAAGTAGAGCAGTGAAAATAAAGATAAGAAGGAACTCAGAAGCCAGGGCTGAGGGCGAGGCGGGTAAATTTAGTGCTCATTCCAGAAGTTACTAATTCAGGACATAAAGGAGGCTGTGACAGATTGTACAGTTCATGTTGCCCGATTAGAGAAGAACTTCACGAGAGATAAATATTTTCCAGGTACTGAATTTTGAGTTTTTTTTTTGTGTGTGTGTATGAACCCTTGTATTAGGGGTCTTGGGTAATCCCTTCAGCAGTGAGTTTGTAAAAGACATAAAAAATAAAAATAAAAACATCACCTAAGAAAATTAGAGCAAGCATCAGTATCTACCCACAAGATGGCCGGTCTTGCTCCTTCTCTGAGCTCCTGGAATTCATTCACCCCCTGCCAATCTCCCAAGGTAACTAAAGGCAAAGAGAAACTCTACTAAAATTGCTGTATGAGAAAGCAAAACACAGCTGCAGGAGAAGCTGATAGTCATTGCTGGAGTTATGAGAACACGGACAGAAAACTGAATTCGCAACGAAAGTAATTACAGAGGGTGCGAAGCCCTGTTATTCCCAGAACGCAGAGACTTCAGATTGCGTGGGATCACGTTTAGGCAAGACTTCAAACAGCTTTCCTTTCATCTTTTGTCTGGAGCGCTGACACCGAGATCACTGAGGAATTGTGATGAGGGAGCTCGTTATCAGACCGAGATAACAAAAGAGATGACTTTCCCCTTCACTTACGCCAGCCAAAAAAGAAACGGAATTATTGGAGAAACGGCTTTGACCTTTAGATAACTGGTAGTATAAGAAAACATTACCCCTTTCCAGCTTAGGGTTTAGGAAGAAAACATCACAATACTTTACCTCTTGAGCCTAGAGCACCTGCATCAGAGGCGATGGGAGAAAGGACGGGCCAGAGCCCCGTTCCCTTTGCAGGTGAGCCTTTGAAACCCGCCTCCGAGGCACGGGCCTCACGGGAGTCAAAGGCATCATGGGAGAGAGCTACTCTGTCCTTGAGAACTCGGCTAGGCCGCAGGGAACAGGGCGGGGCCCACTGTGCACTTGGAAGCTGGCTCTTCCGGGATTTCTGCTGGTGCCTTAATCTTTGCATTCATTCCTAGGCCTAGGTCATTCAACGAAAACGTGCATTTTGAGCATCTCTCTGTGGCCAGGTATTGTGCAAGGGGCTCACATCATGAAGAACAAGGACGGACACATCTCCGTTCACTTGCAACCACCCTGAGCAGCCAAGAGAAGCACTAGGAAGGGCAAGAACCAGTCTATTGGGTTCTGCTGGAGGCTGGAGGACTGATGAGCTGACTTCCTGGGGGGTGGGGCCTGGAGCAGGCGGTGGCTGGTAAGTCAGAGGGTGATAGGGGCGGGAGGGAACTGTGTCCCCTGAAGAGTGTTCGCAAAGCCCCTGGAGGCTGGAGAGAATAGAGTTCCCGTAAACAAATGCTCTCAGGCTTTATCCCAAGAGAAACAGGATGCCTTTATGGTGTCGTGAGCAGGGGAGGATATGCTCAAACCTGGGCTTTGAAAATATCACTCTGGCTGCAGTTTGGAGAAGGAATTGGAGAAGGGCCTGAATCGGGTTAGTACTTAATCCCTCTGAGTAACTCTGATCTTACATTTCCGTCAAGCTCACGGTGATTAATTAGGATACAGCCGTGGTGTCCAGCAGTCAAGATTAGAGTGACCCAGCATTCCCGTTGGCCTGGAACTGTCCCAGTTTGTCTGTGGCCCTGGTCTTTTCGTTCTCAAGAGTGGCTGGGTTTGGTCAATGAATTATACCATCAGTCTCATTAGAATGTTTTTAATTAGTCACAGACTGGCCGGCCAGTAAGAGCCATTGCCGGCTCTCCTTCCCAGAGAGGCTGGCATTAGGGCAGCTCTGGGGACGATCGGTGAACTGGCTCCATGGCGTCTCCATGATCCTGGGTTCTCCTTGTTTCTCTGTTCTGCCTCCCAGAGGGTCAGTGTCACCGTCAGCCTGGCTCCTCTCCTGGTGACAGCATTGCCTCAGCATCCACCCGACGCACCATCCGGAGGGAGAGACGGTCGCTTCCAGCAAATCTCTGCTGTGCCTCATCAGCCCAAACCGGGTCCCTGGCCACTGCTGAGCCGATGCTGGAGTCATTAGAATGTCATTCTGTGTCTGCACCTACACCGTCGGGCATGAGGTAGAATTACCCTGTTCTCTGTCTTAGACTCATCAGGGGCCTCCCCATTTTGGGTCCACCTCTCCCCAAGTCCACGGGCTGCATGAGGTAGAGGAGGCTACTTAAGTGAAAATCGGGATTTCCTTAGGAAAGCAAAAGGGGAGGATGGGTTCTGGAAACAATCCACAGCAGTGTACAACACGTGGCACTGGCCGCTGGTATTCTTCTGTTGGTGAGGCGTTGGGGGGCTTGTTTGGAGGTTCTAGCATTGTTCCCTGGACAGAAGAATAATCTTCCTTTTGCAGGGGAAGGTTGTTCTCTCTGACTGAACATACAGCTTTGGGAGAGATGCACATGGACCAGTGAGGCAGGGTGGGGACACCTACTCAGCTAGCCAGATCAGCCAAGTCAACCTTGGCGATCAGTGGGGTGACAGATATCACAGCCAGATTGTCCTCACACCCACTGTAGCATTTTGGAAAGGACAAGCTCTTTAAAGGAGAATGAAATCTCTCATGACTCTTATTAGCAAATCTTTATGACGCAACGTACTCGGGAACATTCAAGAATCGGGAGACTTCAGTGTGGACTTGATCAGATTCATTTTGGAAGCTGAAATGTACCTCTAGTTTTCCTTCCTATTGTTTTGGCATCCCCGAGCTCCTGGCGTGACACGTATGTGTCCCCAGTGGTGACTGCCTTCACGACGTTATCACCAATGAGTTATATCTTCCCCCGGTACCCAGAGAGACTGAGACAGAGTCAGGAACACTAGCCGCAGCCGAGCTTGCCTCTCGGCGTCTAAATGTGCTTGGGTCTGTCTTTGAAGTCTTGGCTGAATTCCAGAATAAAGCGTAAGCTCTTTGCGGTTGACCGTTAGTTTGCATGTTCTGACATTTGGTTCTCCTCCATGAACGTAAAGAATCAGACTGTTTTACCCTGAGCTTAGAAATTGGTGGGAGTGATTTTTTCCCCCCTTGATTCTGGAGCTGCTTTTAAAAAAATCTTATTTTCTTATCATTCTAGCTGCGCCCCCTGCCCCCGAAATGAACGGCCGGAAGGGGAGTCGATAGTGGAGCCGTTGCTCCCTTGCCAAGAGGCGAGCGTTTCCGATAGGTCAAGGGACACCTGGCAGGTAGCCACGCCTGAGCCCTTTGCAGTTGCCCTAGGAGCAGGAGACTGTGGAGTGTGTCCTAGGGACAGGGCCTGGGGGTGGGGTCCCAGTGGGCCAAGCCGGAGGAGCTGCGGGGAGGAGGCCCTGCAGGACGTCCCGGAGGAAACGCTGCCCCCCAGCGCCACTGACCGCCAAGACAGGGCTGATGGCACCAGCCGTGTGACGGCTTGACCTCCTCTTCCCCCTTCTCCTCTTCACGGCACCTCGGAAGGGATTGGGGACTGAGAGAGCCCCCGCCTCGCGCCACACCTCCGCGGGAAGGATTCTCACTGCTGGCGGGAGTGTGGGGATGACGTGGAAGTGGATGAACATGGATGGGACAGAGATGAGTTTTTTTAAATCACCCTGTCATCAAAGAAATATGGAATCAGAATAAGATCATTGGAGGACTGTAAATGTATGAGAAAAATAAAGCGATTCACATTTGTTCAGCATTTAATGCCAAGGTAAGCTTGTTCCATAAAGCTGTTAGCTACATACATCTAGGACGAGTGATGTTAAACTTATCCAGCTTTTATTTTTTTAATTCAGGACTTTCGAACTCATAGATGCAGAGTTTCTTTATTATGGCAAAGTCTTTTGTATCTTTCATGTGGTGGCGTCTTTTTAGGATACATAGAGAAATAAGGACATAGAATTTGAGTTCAAAGAGGCTTGTGATGTGTCTCTCTATATAGCAACAGCCTGCAGCGCCATCCTTAAACAGGCCCGCTCCGCCTCAGTTACTTGCATGTGACCTGTTGTTTCAACGAAACATTTATGGAGCACCTACTGTGTGCGGGGCCTTGTGTTAGGGGCTGGAAAGGCACGACAAACCTGCTGCCTTGTGGACGTGCCCCATCTCGGGGGTGCTGGGCAGTAAATAGTACGACAGTACAAGAATGCGGTGACCTCGTGAACTGGCAGGGAGGTCAGGGAGGCGTCGAGGGAGAGAGAGGGCCGTTTCTCCTTCCGCAGCCTGAGGAGGGACTGGAGAGCGGGACTTGGGTGTAGATCTGAGGAAGGCCTGCTTGGCGAAGCACAAGCTGCTTTTGACAAATAAGCAGAGATGACAAATAGCAACCTGAGCCGACCCTGGTTTCGTCGCCACGGCTCTCCTCTCGTTAGCTCCGGAATGTGTGCTGTGCCGGACGGAAGCAGGTAGAGCCCGACTGTGGACCAGATGTCGCAGCTGTTAGCTTTCAGAGAACAAAACGTGGCCCTGCCAGTGTGGTGCCGATAGCGACGGGCCACGGGAGTGTTGAGCAGCATCCGCAAAGTTATTGGACATTGAATTTGCTTTGTGTTGGTACTTTTTCCCTCCTCCCCCAAAGAGGCAATCATGGAAGCATGGCATAAATCACTTACCGGCGAAATGAGACAAATTTTCTCAAACGAGCTGCAGCCTGCCGCTCCTTCTAAATGCTGAAACGCTATAAATCAACAGGCCTAATGGATTTTGTCCTGTCTATTCAATATCTTCTAGGGCATTGAATTTAGATTGCGATGCATCAAGGAAAACAGAAAGAGCCTCCAGCAAAGCACACGAGCTTGAACATTTTCGCAATAAAATCCTCCAAGCAGAAAGCT